TTAAAAATACAATATGTAAAGGTTAAAAGTTAAAAAAGAGTATTTAAAAGTTAAAAATCATAATTATACAAATATTTAAAAAGAAATTGTCACAGAAACAGTTTTGCAAGCAGTGCAAGATCAAGAACATAGAAAAGTTGGGAAACAGTTAAGTGATTCCATTATACAATAGGATTCAGGCCATAGAAAACATTGAGAGAAAACACAGGAAACCAGACAAGGCTGGCCCTCTTATTAGCTAGAGTGAGGAGGCTGCTTGAAACCCATTTTTCATAACAGGAAACTGCTGGTTATTTAATTGGTTATTTTGCTTCCAACGTTCGGGAAAGGTGTTTATGTGATTTTTCTGCACATGTACCCATGCTATGTGGATCCAAGCTGGTATTGACGACTTCAGTGTGGATGGGTGGGGAGAGATGTGCCACCTGCAGCCCTAAGACTGCAAAATCTTAGAGCAGCCTTGAGTACACAAAAACTGTTTCGGAAAGCCCGCCTTATCTGCTTGTAAATGTGCGCTTTCCAGTTTTTGCCACCTTCTTTTTCTTTAATTTAATTTGATTTAATTTTGTGTTGCAGAATAACTATGAGGGGAAAGTTCATCACCATCTGGTCAGTAGCAGTTCTCTTCATTCTGCTGCAGGCAGATGTCACTCTCTCCAGAAGAGGAGGGAGTAGATCCAGGTCTAGATCCAGATCCAGATCCAGTTCCACCAATAGGGGAAGCCAGCATGAATCTAGCAAACCTGTCATGAACTCTGAACCATCTGCGGAGGAAACTGGGCATCTTGCCTATGGTGCTTCTGCTTCACATCACAACCAAAAAACCCACATCCATCATAACAACCCTTCCTCTTCACAATACAATCCCAGTTACCCACAAAATGGTACCTATTCCCAATACAATCATGATATTCCATTGAAATTTGACAACTCTTTTCATAGACTTGGCTATCCAGAAAACGCTGGCTTCCCTAACTATGGAGGAGACAGCAGCTGGGACCAATACTATAGTAAGCCATGGAAACCTAAGCCTTCCAAGCACAAGGCCATGGCATTAGCAGTGGCAGCAGGTACCAACGGTGACTTCCTCTTAGGCCCTGGCATGTCTGCTATGCATTTCCATTTTAATGGCCTCGATGAGGAGAGGTGGTGGCACGAGAACCGCGATAACTACCCTGATCGAGTCTACTTCCCGTGGTACGAACAGCCTGTCCCGGAGGATGTCTTTGTGAGGGACTGTTGGAACATCACCATGAGAGGGTTCGTGGCTCCCAGTGGGACTGAAACAGCTGACGAGATGGAAACCAGGGTTGTGGGACAAGTGGTGCACCAAATGTGTGCAAAGCAATACCATGTGGTTCTGCAACATTCCATAGGAGACAGCGCCTGGGACACACACAGAATGAGGCCTGGGTCAGGTGCAGCTCTCACAGGAGCTGCAGGCGAAGCTGCTGGCACCTATGGCTTAAGTAGGCACATTCTCACGCCGATAGCACTCTTCTATTTGCCAGCCTTTCTGTGTTATTGATCATTA